AAAAAAAAAAAAACAAAAAACAAAAAATTGCATTCAGTAACAATGTCCCAGGAGGATATGGAAATGCACTATTTGATGGAACTCTACAATCTATAGTCTTTTTAATATCACTAAAAATCATGAAAATTTTATTTCTTGCCATCTTTCCATTTTCCTTACTGGCATTTTTTTTTTATCTTATGAAATGTTCAAATTCCTGAATGTATACTGCTATGATATACTGAATTCCTATGAAATTCCTGAATTACTGAAATTCCTGAATTACTATGAAATTCCTGAATGTATACTGCTAGAAGGGAGATAGAAAATTTTTACTATTGATATTACAGTCTTCTTTGCTAATAAGGGATCAGCTGGGGTTTCTAGAATTGATGACACATCCTTTATATTTGGCTATCAGGTCACTTTATGACGGTTTTTAAATAATTCTATTGGAAAAGAAATAAATAGAGGGCATGTTATTCCTTGGTATAATTTTAAGAAATAAATAAATTCTACTCAATCATTTTTTGCTATTAGGTGGGCTATATTCTCATCACCATAAATAAGGATTTATGAATTTAACTACTGTCATTAATATTTCTGAAAGTCTGACATCTAGATTCTCACTCTCAGAGATGGAAATGCATTGCAGAATTACTTCAGTATTAAGACTGCTGCCTTTCAGAGAAATCATATAGAATACTAGATGGAATTAGGGAAATACATGGCAATATAGGACAATTACTTTCTCTTTTTAAAGAAAAGCAATAGTAAGACTAGAGAAATACTGCCTATCTTTATTTTAAAATTACATTATAAAATTATATTATATATATGTATATATACACATATATATAAAATGTACTGTTTCAGTTAAAGGATAATAAAAATAACAAATACTCATACCCAGATTGGAAAACAGATATTAGCAATATTTATACACCATCTCATCCCTTCCCACTCCTACACCACAGCATATTTTGGAAACACATACATGCACAAGGAATATACTCTTGGTATTATATATATTCTCCCCTGATTTGCCTTTTTTTTTTTTTTGAGACAGAGTCTCACTTTGTCACCCACAGTTCAGTGTCATGGTGTCACAGCTCACCACAACCTCAAACTCTTGGGCTCAAGCAATTCTCTTGCTTCAACCTCCAAGTAGCTGGGAGGTAGAGTGCCATGTCCACCCCAACGCCTGGCTGTTTTTCAATACAAGGTCTTACTCTGGCTCAGGCTGATCTCCAACCCACGAGCTCAGGGCAATCCACCTGCCTTGGCCTCCCAAATACTAGGATTACAGGTGTCAGCCACTGTGCCCGGCGTGATTTGCTTTTTTTGTTATTGTTTAATATGTTGTAGTCACTTTGATACACAGAGCTGTGGTGAATTATTTGTGGTATTCTTATGAATGACTGTGCCACAATTTATTTATTCATTCTTCCAACAGTGAACATTCGTGTTGTTTCCATTTTTTGCTGTTATGAATAATGTTGCTATGAACTGCATCTCACGTACATTGCTGGTATGAATGTAAAATTGTACAACCATTTTGGAAAACAGATTTCCTTACAACTTAAACATATACTTACCATCTGACCCAAAAATTCCACTTCTAGAAATTCACACAAGACAAATGAAAACATATGTCCACACAAAGATCTATACATAAATTTTTGTGGCAGCTTTTAAAATTTACAATAGCCAAAAACAATTCAAATGTCTGACCACTAGCAAATACATAGACAACTGCTGAGGTCTCTGTATCATATTACAGGACACCACTCAGAAACTAAAAGGGAGCAACAACATGGCTGAATCTCAGAGGCATTATGCCAAGTGAAAGAAGCAAGACACAAGTAACTACATACTGTATGATTTCATGTATGTGAAATTCAAGAAAATAGAAAACTGCATTGACAATGTGAGAGGGGCCCTTACGTAACAGAGTAAGAGGGAACTCACATCTTCACTGTAGTGGTTCTTACCGTGCTGTAAACATTTGCCAAAACCCATCAAAACTAAATGCACCTAAAGTGGGTACATTTTATTACATGTAAATTATATCTCAATAAAGTCGATCTTAATGCTACTATGAATATTCATGAACACGTCTCCAGCGTAGCAAAATTGCTAGCCATTTAGTAAGTACATCTTCAATTTTACTAGAAAATTCCAAGTCATTATACAAAGTGGTTGTACCAATTTATACTACCACCTGCAATGTGCAAAGGTCCTCTTTGACACACATTGTGGCCCATGGTTTTCAAGTTTGCCAATTTGGTGAGTATCAATAGAATCTCAACATGGTTTGAATGTGTGTTTTCCTAATTTTCTTTGTTTTTCCATTTTGGGATTTTTTTTGTTTTGTTTTGTTTTTTGAGACGGAGCCTCAAGCTATCTCCCTGGGTAGAGTGCCCTGGCATCACACTCACAGCAACCTCCAACTCCTGGGCTCAAGCGAGTCTCCTGCCTCAGCCTCCCAAGTAGCTGGGACC